CAAGCTGAGGGACTTCTGATATGCACCTATTACATGCGAAATAGAGGCCCAATGGCTGTAAGGCCCAGAGAACCCCTGTGACATAGCCACAAAGGCAATCCAACTTGCATCGGAAGCATGGATCTCGCTTCAGACTCTACAAACAAGCTTAACATGACTTAGTCTGAAAGAAACTATCATTGCCAATAGTAGCAGCTCAGGAAAGTTGGCACTAACAGGAACCAGTGAAGGGATGACATCTCTAGCTTGCCACCACACCTATTGAATATAGGCTTGCTCGCCAAGGAATAGCCCGATAAAGGTCACCCCTCTCTACCAATAAACGTGAACACTGTCTTATGAAAGACGATGAGAAACAAAGATGCTCAAGCACTGTAAATATGGAGGCTTTAACCGCATGTATGATATATCTCTTTGAATATTTGAATCTCATTGAATACCGAACTGATTTGAGCGTTAGAGTGCCGTTGCAGGTACCCCCTCTCAAACAACCCAGATACGTTAAAGTGTTGTCCAAACAACTCACAAGACACTCATCCATCTCGTCAAACACCCCAGCATCTCGACAATAGTATTCTCATTTCTCATTCTCTTCATCAACATTCTTTTACTTCAACTGTGTGTGATTAGGCCCAACCCACTTTGAGTTAGACTGATCAAGGCTTAAGGTAATTAATTTGATTTTTTTTAACTTTTTACTTTACCGCCTGAGTATTTGTTATTCAGCCATGTACATAAATTTATTAAAGGGTTATATTTATCTCATTCAATATGAAATAACCCATCTTCCTACACACATAACAAAGGTGGGTTCCACCTCTATTTTTTTTTCTCCAATCATTTGTGGGTCCCTCTTATAATTTTGTTTCACTAACATAAGATAACTTATCTCCAACAACATAAGAAAAATATTTCCCTTCACTAAATGTGTAAAGTTTTTTGCTATTCTAGATTGTAAATTGAGAACATATTCATTTTCTTACATGTTAGCTCATAAACTATTTTATCGTAATTGTTTATTAAAGCATTTGAAAACTTCCTTTTGCATTTTTTGTTTTTATGTCGTTTTAAGTTGTAATGTTAGATTTTTTACTTTTTAAACATTATAATTTAGTTGTTTTATTAAACAAATATTAAATTATTGTTCATTTAATATTTAAAAAAAAAAATTCCTTCATGTTTTCAGATTGGACTATTGCACTCTAACAATTAGTGATTAAGCCAACCTCCCGTCGAATTATACAGGTATGCACATATATTTTAAATATTTACATGTTACCAATTCAAACTTCTTAGTCTATTGTTGAACGATCATTATCTATGCTATAAATGCTGAAGATAATGATCATTATTTTATTTTATTTACAGAAAACGATGACTTATATTAAAAACAAATGTATACCTTTTGGAACTAAGAAATTATCTCACAAGAATGATTTATAAACCCATTTGAAACCTGGTCAACGTAAATATCATATCAATTTGCATCTTACTACGTATATTTATTGTTTATTAAATAGAATACTCTTTAATATTTTTCCGTCTACAGCTATGGGCATGGCATAACAAAGACTTTATCCATGACAACTGCAATTCGTGTTCTACCTTAATTGTCTAATCGAAGTCATGATGACGGGTACAATTCTATTTAATAAACCAAAAACAAAGACTAACCAGTTTCTGAATGAGGAATAAGGTCCAAAAACAAGGTCATAAAAAAATAAAATAAAATATAAATTTCGTTAAATTATTATAAATTCAATACGTCAACTAACGACAGACTAAAAAAAATGTTTATTCGTCTGAAATATTGACAAGGGAGAAGTGGTCATAATAATGTTTAGTCTACCGTTCACGTGTTTAGAAATTCAGTAGCAAAAATAATGAATTCAACATATTTCTAGAACGCTATTTATTTTTATTACATTGCAAAGAGACTCTTCATTATAATATAAAGGAGATAATATAATTTTCCCCCTCAAGTGATAAGTATTGAGATACAAATTTCAAACTCATATACTATATAATAACAACAATAATAACAATAGTTTCTGCTTGATTTTGTTACTTTGCAGTAAACAATTTTATAATTCTCATATACAAGTAGCCAATAGTGACGAGAGAAAGAAAAATTACACATTTCCAATTAGTTTAAGAATTTTCCAAATGACATTGAGATGTATAATGATGTCTAAGTTTTTTCAACAGACTTATGCTGCAAGGTTCCATCTAAAAAGGTCATGAGTCTTGGTGTCCAGATTTTTTTCTTTAATTTACTAAACTATATATAGAGTCTCTCTCTCTGATGCAATAATTTAGATAACGTAGTTGAATAATATCGGAAACTGAAATGGATTGGACCACAAAAATTTGAACAGGACTTCGAACTTGATAATGCGCAGCAGGTCAAGGGGGTGAGATTCTGCTATTCAAAATCCAGTAATTCCATTATTAATAATTTAATAGTATGCCCGTTTCTTTTTTAATGACTCATAAACTACTTTAGATGTATCAATTTAAATTATCCATAATCAAAAGGAAGCTTATAAAAATGTTTGATGCAATTAACTCGATATATAACAACAATCTAGATTGAATCAGTTACTATTAATTTAAGTCTTATATCTTTTGTGATAAATCAGTTACTATTACTAAATTGAATCTTATTAAATTCAATTAAGGATTTCATTGACCAACACAGCAGAACCTTTTTCTATTTCATAAAGAAAGCATCAACAAAGTAAATCCATTTCAAGGTATCAAATTAATTTAGAACTCGATCAAAACACAATTTTTTTTTTTTTTTTTGATAAAAGATAGAGTAAATATCCTTTTTGGTCATCAGCAAATTTTATGATGCCCGCTTTATTTCCTAGCAAATAAAAAGACTATTCGTGGTCTTAAAAATTTTCAAATGGACTCATTTAGTTAAAATCGTGGTCCCTCACAAATTCAAAAAAGATCTATATTAGTCCCTCGAAAGGACTAAAATAAGTCTATTTTGAATTTTTTAGGACCACAAATAGCTTTTTTATTTGCTAGGAACTAAAGCGGACATCTTAAAATTTACTGAGGACCAAAAATGATATTTACTCTAAAATATAAACCACAAGACATAATACTTCAAACGAAATTTTGAATTCAAAATAAAAGGCTAAAATAAATTCCGTCTCTTATTTATTAGTATGAGTGTAGATTTGGAAACAAGCCAGCTTAATTATTAGATGAAGCTGGCTAAGCAAAAGGTGAGATTCGGTAACGTGTTAAATGCAACTCCAATATTAGTAATACCTCTTGCATAGCTAAGACAAAATTACTATAACCTGTGATTATGACTGGGTTTAACTTGTTCAATTTTTTAATCCACCTTAGGTATATAAATTAAAGTGAGATCCTGACCCTTTTTTATATACTCAGTCAACCTCTTAATGTTTATACAGCACATTGTTAATTGGTATAAAAGATTTCTAAATCTGTGTATCTTACACATGTTTCTGACGAACCACGAATTAAGAACCAAATCGAAGCATTCGACGAGCTTATTTGGATATTTTTTTACGGTAAAAGTTACTTATAAATTAAAGCTAAAAAAGAGAGTTTAAAAAATAAAAAAATAAAGAGCTATTTGGTAATTATATAAAATTATTAACTTAAAAATTACTAAAAAATATTTTATTTCAAGAAAATTATCTCTCTCTATTTTTATAGCTCATTATTTTTAAAAAAGCACGCAATTAAAGAAAAATAGATAAGAGCTTAAAAAAAGTTTTTCTGAAGAGCTTTTAATTTTTTTCTTTATTATAAAAAAACTTTTCATTATAAGAGCTTTTGTTATTTAACATAACTTATGCTTATAAATAACTACTAACTTAAAAAAAAGAAAATCACATCAAATGAGTTGGTTTAAAAGTTGACTTAAACAGCCTTAATCTAAATTGAATTTTCACCTTCAAAGTTGAAACAAGTAGGAAGTCCAAATTCATTTTTATGCAAGCACAAAATAAATACCCAACCACCCATCTAAAATAACATATAGGCCGTTTGGTACGATGTATTTTTTAGGATTTCCGGCAAACTGAGAGTGGTAATTATATTTACTCATGTTTGGTATAAGTTTTTTAAAATTTTCTCGGGAATATGATTTTTCTAGAATTTTATTTTGTGTGTAATTTTTTTCGAAAATAGCATCTAAAAAAACCATCCACGGAGAGGTATTTTAGAATTTCTATGACAAGAGAAAATTTGATACAACTAAATATAGCATTAAGAAAATTAACTCAATATTTCCGGAAATATTTTATTCTACCAAACATTTTTTTGATAAGATTCTTAAGAACTCATTTTCTCATCATATTTCTAAAAATCGTGATTCTTAAATAAAAAAAATTTCTCTGAGCATCCCTAAAAAAAGAGGCAAAGCCTTCATTCACCATTATCGAACGTCGCTTTTGTTCAGTTTAGACTAATAATGAAACAAAAGTTATGAAAACCATCAAATAGAAAAAGCGACCTATTCTTAAAAATAAAAACTTTATAAAATATAAAAATTTTACTATAGAAATTTTTTTATTCTGCCACGCAAAGGGAGTGAATCTCATTATAAAATGATGAGAAAAAAAGACTAATAAAATTCAATTATTTTTACATGAGTGTGACAACTAATTTTTTTGCTGCGATAGAAATAAAAATGTTAAATCCAAAAGTAAATATGAAAAAGCATTTCAAATTGTGAGCTGGAGTCTTACGTGTCAGCCACCTTAAATACACCCACAGCAATTCATTTCCAGGTGTAACCGTCAACTCATATCAGACAGGCCCCAACAACTTCACACAAAAACACAAGAAAAAACATTTGAAAAAGCCACATAAAGTGACAAAAAACAACAACCAATTTTCTACACAACACAAAAAAACGTTCACTCTCTCTCTCTCTCTCTCTCTCCCACTTTACAAAGCGCCTGAGTCTTTCCATCTTCTCACTTCTCAACTCAAAAATATAATTATATAAAAAAAGAAAAAACGTCTTCGCTCTCTCTTTTTTTTCTTCTTCCCTCTCCTCACTTTCTTACGTTTTGTTTTCTTTTCCTCACTTTCTCTTTCTCTCTCTTTCTTTTTTCTTTTCTTTTTCCTTTTTATTTTTTATTTTTTTTGGGGGGGTTTTGTCCCTCTCCCTCCCTCCCTCCGTCCCTCACTGCCCTTCGTCCCTTTCTAGTTTTGGACTGGGCTTGGGGGTTGGGTCTTTTTCCCTCTCAACATTGCATTTTGCTGGAAATTCGTTTCGGATTTTTCTTAGCTGCCAAACACTGTGGCGCAAGTCAAATGTGATGGGAAGTGGACTTTCCACCCTCTGTTCCTGCTTCGAACCGGTGAACCGGACCAACGAACCGGACCACCAAGACGTGATATTCACGGCCACCGACCCATTGGACGAAACCCTAGGTCACTCCTTCTGCTACGTCAGATCCTCCGCACGCTTCCTCTCTCCCTCTCATTCCGATCGCTTCCTTTCCCCCTCTTCCTCCCTCCGTTTCTCCCCAACCCACGAACCCGTCCCCAGGACCCGACCCGAATTTCATGAAACCGGCTTCAAATCCATTTCCGGAGCCTCCGTCAGCGCCAACAGCTCCGTCCCTAAAACCGTTATACAGTTAGACGAAGAAGCCGTAGATTGCTGCGGCGGAGCCGCCCTCAGGGGCAATATTGTCAATGGGTTCGAAAGCACGTCGTCGTTTTGCGCTCTCCCGCTTCAGCCTGTGCCCCGAGGGGGTGAACCGTCTGGAAGCTTCGAGAGGGGCGGTTTCTTTCTCTCCGGACCAATTGAGAGCGGCGGCGCCGCCGAAGGCGGCGTCTCCGGCGGAAACGATGTCCCTTTCTCGGCGCCTCTAGGCGGGCTCTACGCGAAGAAGAAGAAGAAGAAGGGTGTTTCGGGTTTCCGGAAGGCGTTTCACCGGAACGACTCGGAGAAGAAGAGACCGTGGGTGGTGCCGGTGCTGAACTTCGTCGGGAGGAAGGAGGTTCCGGCGAGCGAGGGGAAGCCGCCGGAGGCTAAGAGTGAGAGCAATAGCAATGTGCAGTGGGCGCTTGGGAAGGCTGGGGAGGATCGGGTTCACGTGGTGGTGTCGGAGGAGCAGGGGTGGTTGTTCGTGGGGATATACGACGGTTTCAATGGCCCCGACGCGCCGGAGTTTCTGATGGGTCATCTCTACCGTGCAGTTCACAACGAACTGCAGGGTTTGTTCTGGGAAGTTGAAGCTGAAGAGAGTAGCAATCACCCCGCCGAAAGTGGTGTGCTGAAAAACGATGATTCGGCTAAGATGGTAGAGGGAACGGAGAGTAGACGGCGTAGGCTGTGGGAGTTTCTTGCTGAAGACCCTGAAGATGGACTTGATCTTTCGGGGTCGGATAGGTTCGCGTTTTCAGTTGATGATGCATTGAGCGTTAGCAATGGCAATGCGGGTTCAGCAGTTAGTAGACGGTGGCTGTTGTTATCGAAATTGAAGAATGGATTGACAAAGCATAAGGAGGTTCATGGTAGGAAGTTGTTGCCGTGGAATTTGGGGACAGAGGACAAAGAGAAGGGGGAGAATCGGGCGGAAGGCAAGCTTTGTGATGGTGATGGTGGTGGTGGTGGTGGAAGGAAGCGGAAAGTGGGTCCGGTGGATCATGATCTGGTTTTGAGTGCAATGTCTCGGGCTCTCCAAGTGACGGAGCTTGCATATTTGGATATGACGGATAAACTTTTGGATACAAATCCTGAACTTGCTTTGATGGGTTCATGCCTATTAGTTGTTTTAATGAGGGATGAGGATGTGTATGTGATGAATGTTGGGGATAGCCGAGCTATTGTTGCACACTATGAGCCTAAAGAGGTTAATTCTAATGTGGAATCCAGAAACAAGGGAGATATTGGGTCGAGCACCGAGAGCATTGTTGAGGAGTCCTTAGGTTTAGGTCAAAGTGAAAGTGCAATCAAGTTGGGGAATGAGGGTCCTGCTCTAGAAATGAGGTTGGTCGCATTGCAGCTGTCTACTGACCATAGCACGAGCATTGAAGATGTAAGTTTAATTTTGAATTAGTTGTCCTTTAGGTGAAATGCTTTCTTCCTTCACTCCTATAAGTTTGGTCTTTGCTACACGTCGTATTTTCCTTACTATCCCTATTCCAGTCTGGTTTATCTTTTTTCTGGGAATTAATACAGCCATTTATATCTAATGATGCTCTTTTTCCCATCAAGTTCTTCTATCCCTCTAGTCACTTGTGTGATTTTGTATGTATATCCAAATTTGAGTTTATGTTTGCATGTGTGGATTTTTCCTTATGTGGATTGCATTCCCATTGCTTCTTTCATTTAATCCGGCATCCTGCTTTATATCAGGTAGCAGTAGGAGTTTTAGATTTGCTAACATGTAGTATTGAGATATTTGTGATGATATATTCAAGAGGTTAGATTATTGGCTTCATGATTATTTGCTGTTCTTGTTTTAGTAATGAATAATACTTCTAGTTGTAGTTATATATATTAGTCTTGTTTCGTTTTTCTTCAGTCATATTGTGATCTGGTAATATCAGTTTTCTAAAAAGCGGAGCTGACTGTTTTGCAGGAAGTCATTAGAATTAAGAATGAACATCCTGATGATACCCAATGTATAGTCAATGATAGAGTTAAAGGTCGTCTTAAGGTCACCAGAGCATTTGGGGCAGGATTTTTGAAACAGGTGTCTGTTAAAATACTGTGTTTTATTAATACAGTGCTTTTTTTAAAATTTATCTACAGCTTGCTTCTGAACCATTCTCTCCTTTCTTCAGAGAGAAAATAATATGCTGATTTCTACAGTTCATGCATTATGGAAAAATGTTTCACGTTGATTCTTTGTTTAATTCAAATGAAGATTTATTATTCATCTTACTTAGAGCCATCCTTTGTTGATGTACATATATATATATTGTAAATACATATATGCAAATAGATGAGTATTTAAACAGATGCGGGAAGCTGGGAACATTTTTATTTGCTTGGATACACTGATTTGTATTTATCTATTTATATTCATAGACATGGACGGGTTATTGTTCTTTAAATTTAGGTATGCCAGATGGTTATGTTAATATTAGTTATTGTGACGAATTGTAATATCTATCACAATGTAAAACTCTTTTGCATACTCGGCCAAAAAAGAAAGGGTAAAATTACAAAATTTGTCACGTGAATTCATAATTATTCAAAAGTTTTCTTTATATGCTATAACACTTTATCATGAACTACATATAGATGTAAGCTAGGCAGTGCCCAACCATTTAGACTTCAGTCCTGCACTACACTTCTGAGAGATAAAATGAGATGATGAGTCATAAGGTCAATTGGAGAACATGCTGAATTGGCATTCATTATTACTGTAAGAATCATTTATTTGTCACGAAACTCACTTTATTTGTGCTTATGTTGCTGTTGCATGCACTGATGCTCATCTTCACTCAAAATTAGAAGCCTGATTATTTGTCCTGTCTCTTGTTTAGGGCTGCATGAATTTCTTAAATATTTTACAAAATGTATTCTTACATGATGGTATGATTTCAATTTTTCCGTAGCCAAAGTGGAACGATGCAGTACTAGAAATGTTTCGTAATCAATATATTGGCACTGCTCCATATATATCCTGCTGTCCTTCACTACGTCACCATAGATTATATCCGAGAGATCAGTTCCTGATCCTCTCATCTGATGGTTTATATCAATATCTAACCAATGAAGAAGTGGTTTCTCAAGTTCAGAGCTTCATGGAAAAGTTTCCAGAAGGAGATCCTGCCCAACATTTAATAGAAGAGCTGCTCCTCCGTGCAGCCAAGAAGGCTGGTAAATGAATCTTCTGACCTTGTGTATCTTGTTTTGCAGTCTTGATAGAGACATGTACAATTTGTTGAACGGCATAAATGGAGGGATTATTAATTAGTAGTTCTTTTTATATTAGAACTAAAAGCATTTGTCTTACCCATAGGCCATATAGTTGTGCAATTTTTTTGAATATTTAAACTTCTGGTTGGTTGTTTATATGATATAAAAACTCATGTCTATTTCTACTTTGAGGATATATTTTAACTATATTTTGCTTGAAGAATGAACTGATGGTAAATTTTAAAAAGCAAACAGTAAAACTTGCGGAGTATATATGGTGAAATTTGAAGGATTTGGAAAAAAAAAAATTTCTACGTTCGGTGCATAATTACATGGTATGCTTTGTTGTTGTATTTGCGGAAAACTTATTTTGAAATGTTTGATGCTAGTAGGATGTTTTCCCACTTTTTAACCCGCCTGGGTTGGGGATAATGCAAAAATTCAGACCGAAACAAGAAAATAATTGCTGCAGGCAATATATCGATCTTATTTATAGCTGAATTGTTTAGCTTGTCAACTACTGTGTCTATACAACTCAGTGGTGATTTTGGACTCAATTGTTGCAGGGATGGATTTTCATGAGTTGCTGGATATCCCACAAGGAGATAGGAGGAAGTATCATGATGATGTGACTGTTATGGTGATATCACTTGAAGGAAGAATCTGGAAGTCGTCAGGGAAGTATCTGTGAGACCTTCAACTTGCTGTTGGCTCTGTACATGTGATAGTATATTATACCCTGAGGGTGCCTCAAAGCTGGTGCCAAAGTTTCACAGCTGATCCATTTTTCATGGGTCTATGTGTTGTTTCTCCGTCTTGCAACATAAAGTTATCAACTTTTAATGGCAAGAGGCTTCCGTTAGAGCTCTATCAAGAATTAAAGATGCTGAATGCAATTTGGTATGAGCTAAGAAACGGGCATTGCAGATGGGGTCGGGAATTCTTTTTAGCAGTGAAAAAAGAAAAATATTAGAGCCTTTTAAACTGTTTCTTTTTCCATTCGCAGTCTCTATTCTGCTCCCCGCCCCCATCTCTCTCTCTCTCTCTCTCTCTTGGCAGTTATAGAGATTAAAAATGATAAAATTTTTGCATGGCGAAGGCCCTTTTCGTTTATTTAGTTATTTTTATTATTATTTTTTTCATTTCTTTTCTTTCTTCTTTGGCATAGCCCAGAAAATGTGGTGTATATTGGTGGGGATACTAGTGTACTTGTTGAACTCAAGCAGTCTTTAGTCAGTAACTACAATCTTCGACTGAGGGTGGATTTCCACCAAAGCGAATCAACATGATTCTGAATTAGAGATCTCCAAATCAAATCTGTGCATTGGACGTAACCATAAATTGCATAAAAGGCCTTTCCAAAACTAGGCATAATGGAACCGTAAACTGATTTTCTTGTATTTTAATTTTAGTTATGCACGCGTTTGTTGAGATATATATGCAGGGGTTGTGTTCGAATTTCTAGCATTTCTATTAGTATTAGGTACGTGTTTTGGCATGGGATCTCTCTTTCCAAAAGAAGAGGCATAATGATCAATTCACAAGAGCATGCATGTCTTTTAACTAAACTCTTAAGGTGGGAGATAAAGGGAAGCAAAGAAGAAGGAATATCAAATTTCAGGATGTGTTTACATTCTAATAAAAATGAGTGGGGAAGATTACATTCCATCTTTGGCTTCAACCCTCCACATATTGACAACTTAAGTGATAAATAGACTTGAAGTATCATTGTTATGTATTAGCCATAGCGCTAAAGCTGAATGCCACTTGATTTTTTCCACCATCTATGTCGCAATAGCAGCTGATGGAGACTTTGATTGCACCCAAGAGACTAAGTCCTCTCTAGTTGCAATAAAGCAGCCAACTTTATCCTGACTCTGCCTAAATGGAGCAGCTAGTTTCCTCAAATGAGAGGCAAAAGAAATGTTCAGTCCTTGGGCAAACTTATGAGCACCAGTACCAGTTTGGGCTAGGAATAACTCTGGCAGTGCCCCCTCCCGGTTAACAATTTTGGTGAGTGTCCACATCCACTCTTCCAGTGCAGTTTGAGCGGCACCAACCGACAATGATCGAACGTCTAAACACCATTCACCTTCAGTTTTGTTGTGCAAACCAGGGTATAAACCATACAAGGTTCCCAAGTAGAGTAGCTCATGGGCTCTCTCTTGGAGATCTTTGTTTCTACATATGTCAATCAAGCAGTTACAGAAGGGTCTTCTCACATCAACCGCAGCACTGCTCATGGTACCCTTAAACTCTTCCTTGATAGTCTCAAAACTAGTTTTCTCATCTAAAATCAATTGAATAAAGGCAACCAGGTTTGGGTTAACTTGCTGCAAACAAGCAAGTACTTTTTCCTCGTCCTTGGTACCGTGAGACAGAGACACAACAGATAGCAAACAACCGCATAGCCTATCATCTGGCTTCACTCCTCTCTCAACAGAAATGTTAAAAACTCTGACCAAATCATCAAACTCCATAGCCTTTCCCAAGCACTGAATCAAACATGTACACCCCATCACGTTGAGTTCAATGCCCAACTTAGACATCTCTTCGAACAATCCCATTGCCTTGCGGACATCTCCTTCACTCCCATAAATTTTGAGCATTGCTGTGTAACTCCAACTGTCTGGCTTGCAATGCTCAGACTGTTTCATCTCCCTGAACAGAGTTTCAGCTTCCTCCACCAATCCAACATCTGCGCACATATTCAACAAGGTATTATACAAAATAAAATCCATAGGCCAGCCATTTTCCTTCATTCGTTCCCACAATTCCAGAGCATCTCGAGGCCACCTGGCCTTGCCATATATCTTAATAACTGCTGTTAAGGTCTTTTCATTTGGGGCTATCCCTGAATCAATCATTTCTTCAAACAGGCTCCTTGCAAAACCTGGCTTCCCAGCCTTTCCCATTGCTTCCAACAAGGTGTTGTACACAACTAAATTAGGTTGCACCCCAACAGATTTCATCTCTTGCAATACATACCTAATACCATCATAGTCCCCAGCCTCCCCAAACATCTTCCCCAACACAGAGAATGTGATAGGATCAGGCTTCCACCCAGTTGCTCTACCTCTCTCATACAAACTTATCACCTCTTCAACCTTCCCTAATCTAGCATAAACATCTAAGATAGCAGAATAAGTTACCTCATCCGGCATCAAACCAGTCTTGTACATCCTTTCAAACCAGTGCACGGCCTTGTCAAACAGGTAGCACTTCTTGGCACATGATATGATGGTGGAGTAAGTGATGTTATCTAGTTGAATCCCATTATCAATCATCTGGTGGGCAAGGTCTTCTATGAGCTGAAACTGTCTCCCAAACCTCAAAGACTTCATTGTGACATTGTAGAATATGGTTTCCATGGGAAGCAAATTCTGGGTCTTGATCCAATTGAAAAACAAATGGGTTTTCTGCCATGGCTTCAAGCTGTTGAGCATCAAGAGGGCATTTTCTCGTGTAAGTGGGAGTGGGATTTCCTCAACACAAGCCAAGAAATCAGCTTCTGAGGACGCGTCACACTCATTGAGTCTCTGGGCAATGCGTTTGAGATCTCTGAGTTGGGGACTGTAAGAGTAAGGAGCGCGTTTCTGCCTCTGGTGTGAAAGCACAGAGCGCTTGGCCTTTGTGGGGTTGACCCACGTGGATTTTGGCTTAGACAAGACATGGGGTTGGTCTCGTGTGGCCGTAGATAAGGTGGTGTTGGCAAGGGGTGTGAGTTGGTCGGATAAGGAAGAGTTTTGGTTGTTGGTGTTGATGTCTGAAGTTGGGGTGGGAGGAACTTTTGGAATGGATTTAGAAGTGGTGCAGTTTATGGCAAATTTTCTACGATTTTTTTGCCTTAGAGGTGTGGTGTTGTTGAACCTTGTGTTTTTGGTGTCGGGAAAGTAGATATCTACAATGGTAGACAGAGGAGCAGCCATTAGGATTTAACAAGGCGAGAAGGGAGGGAGGGGTTTGGTTTTGAACCAGGATGTTCCAAGATATTATTTTATGACCTTATCCTAATCGAAAAAAGATGTTATCAGGGGACAGCAGAGGAGGCAAAGATATTTTCATTTTCAAATTGGGAAAAAAGAAAAAAGAAAAGAAAAGAAACATTGAGTTGGGAGATCCACCTCCTTGATGTGGGTTGTGGTTTTGCGGGTTAGTGTTTATAACAATTTTTTTGATATAGGAATGGACTGGGTCATATATGAAATCAAAGATGAGTTGTGTTTTGGTCATTTCTTATTGCCCAATTGTGCTTCGGGTTAAGACCCAAACAAATTTAAAAATTATCCTTCACTTACAACAATTAAGGGAATGAAAATATTTCTTTTGTATTATTATTAAATTTATGTCTACTTTTATTTTTATTTTTGTAGATTACAAGGACGTATCCTCACTAAACCTCCTCCGGTCACTTTGTCCTCGAAATATGACCTTAAGACTAACTCTTCACTAAAATAGAGGATGTATTAGACTACTGTCACTAGAAAAAAGATGAGACTAATCCTCCTTCTAAGGGGTAAGGGTTTCCCTTTGTTTCCCAAAGAATTCCAAGAATTGCCTACTGAACTACCCTGGGGCACTCAACTTGCCAACTGAGCTATCCTTGGGGGTATGTGTACTTTATTTTTTTAACAATATAAAAAAGGGTTCCTTCAACTATATTGTAAAATACCCTCTGAATTTTAAGTTTGTAAAGCTACTATAACATTGGAAGCGCGAGTTCTACTCAATGCTGGCTTCTTTTGTTGCACGACAAGTGTACCAGTCACACAAATAATAAAGAAATGAGTAGAGTATCGTTCCCACAAGGATTAGTATTTCAAGAACTAGTTCAACATTTTTACTTTAGTTGGACAATTTGAATGAGCGATTTGATTTAAAATTAATTAATAATTAAAACAAAAACAAGAACAAAACGCAAAATCAAAGATTCAAGCAATAAAGAAAAACGTAGTTAGGGATTCGATTTCTCCCAATCATTCCTTTACGTTTTGAATTAAAAATTTAATTAATCGCCCTTTCTATATTGCCCATCTAATTTAGTTAAAACTCAATCCCTTGGTATTCTAACCCTTTACTCCCTTAAAAGAATCCTAATTCCTTGATGTTTCTTAAAAGGATTTAAGCATTAAAATAAAGAATCATAAAAATGGTATAAGGAGTTCATGATTCATATCTATCCCTAGATTCATACAAATCAATGATGAATTTACCAGCCCCGATTCATATACCATCATCCCTATTGTCATACATGAACCTTAGATCACTGTCTACAAGAAGATTGACTCATAGAAGCATGAAGAACATGAAAATTCATTCAAGATAAAAAGGGAAAATTGCATTAAAGATTAATTCAAAAAATAAAGATTCAATTGGATTCCATCTAACCCTAACTACAAAAAAAATTAGCTACTCATGGCCAAAACAAAGAGATAAAAGAAATCATAAAGTCTTCCCCGAACTCCATCTATAATATCCTTAACCCGTTTAATTAAAAAAGGGCATGTGATTAAATATTTAATCATGCATAAATGGGTTAAATTAAGTAAAAGATCTAATTAAATAAATTAGGGTTACTTTTAAGGTAAAAAGTACAGTCAGTGAGATTTTTGGGATAAAAATGTGTGTAGAAAAAATTACCTAGAATGCAAAAGTAAAGTTAGAAATATGAATGAAAAAATATTCTAGTTCATTGGGTAAAGTTTGGTATTAAATGGAGGTGTGTAGATAGATAAGTTGTTACCTAGTTAAAGTAACTTAACTTTATCAACCGTAAACTCCTTATATTTCTTTTCTCCTGCGCGCGTTGCCCTTCTTCTCCTCTCTCTCTGCTGCTCGACATCTCCATGGAAGGGGGGGGGGGTTAGGTTTCAACCTTTTTTTTCTTTGATTTCTCTCTACACAAGCATCTAAATGAAAAAGTCCATTACATGAAATCAATAGGAAATCATCCAATGAATCCGTTTCACCCCTTATTTTAGGCTGAAAATGCTTGTGTAAAAAGTCTCCTCTCCTCCCAATTCGAGTTACTATTCATCCAAGAGAGATATGGTGGTTTTAGTTGGAGCCAAGCTTGGGTTTTGTTCCTTGGACCTTGGATAAGCGATTTGAGGTAAGAAATCCTCATTCTAATGTTTGATTTTCATGGTTTAAGTTTTGAATATTATGAGCATATTTTGTGTAGAATTTATGAAGTGAAAACTTGAAATTTATGAAGTATTAGTGTGTTTTATGATGATATAGTGTCAAGCAAGCATGATGATGAGTTGGAAAATTGAAAAGAATTCCCTAGGCCACTACTTAGGTTTCGGCCATGATGTACCATAGAGGGGTTTGTTGGTGCAAAAATTTAATTGGATATTTTGTAGAGGCATGTATATATGTGTAAGTATGAATTACATGAAAAAATTAGATTGTACAACAAAAGAACCCCATTGACCCTACCCTCTAGATTTCGGCCTATAGGTTTTGTAGGGATCAATTATGTTAAACTCTGTTTTGAACATATGTAAAGGTTCCTAAGCTTGGTATTGGTACGATGAGGAAGTGAAATGACTTGGGAATTGTTGAAAGATATCTTGGTTCCATTTATGCATACCCTCGACCTTATGAAGGAAAAATAAGCAAAGTTTAGGCTTAAATTGTTATATGAATGTATGAGAAAATTAGGGTCAAGTAGGGGTTCTAGGAACCAATGGTTGTGTAAAAAGAATTCATGAAAATTCCTAGTCTTTTTTGGTATTGGCTTCGGCCATTGCATGAATTGTGGAACTAGGGAATATTAAAAATTATAAAGATTATTTTAGAAGCTTGGTTGGGTCATTTAAGGACCCTAGGTAATTATGAAACAGAGGGGGTTGCTTGTGTTACGAGTAATCATTCGTAAGTGTGTTAAATAATGATCTTAAGAAAGGATGGTCTTGACTTGTAAATTGGCATAGAATTGATATACATGAAAAAATGAAAGTAAACAATAAAATGTATGTCTTGTAATTACATGACATTGTAGCATTTTATTAAGTTTCGTTTTGGATTCTTTCTCTAGGTGTGCCTAGGGACTGAGCGTTTGTGGATTCCTTTGGAGCTAAATAGGTAACTTGTGTACGAGTGAGCAAAATGGTAAAGCTTCAAAAGGTATGCTCTATGTTTAAGGAGTCTTTTTCTGCTTGAGTGCTCCACCATGGTTAGTGAACTATGGTTGGATTGTATGATTATTTTGATGCTTTGTATAGATGCATTCATATAGAGCTATTTGACAACATGATATGATTTGTTCTGATGTGATTTCTGTATTAATCATTGGCCATTGATTGTATTGTGCACTGATGTCTGCTTGGGGTCCTCCCTCGGGACTGACAGTATACACCTCTGATATGTTTTGGTTCTGCTTGGGGTCCTCCTTTGGGAACACGTGCGTTGATTTCCGATTGGGATCCTCCCTTGGGAATGACTGCGTACGCCTCTGATAAGATATGTATATATGTTTTGTTTAGTTCTGATATCTGTTATATGATGCTTTGTATACTCTGTATCTGACTTTCATGCAGGAGTGGGCCCAGGGGTATGGAGAATTCTCTATAAACCTGGAGCTTACAGAGATTGTTATCTGACCCCTTCTTGGGAACATCATTTCAGGTGTTCAGATTCCCGGTGAGCCCTCACGAGGCAGGGACACGGCTCGTGGATAACGGGATTGCGACAGACTAGGTTTTTGAGTAGTTGTAGGCTACTGATACTTGGGGGATATTTTGTGGTTTCAGTATGTTGTTATTTTGGGATGATGATGTCTGATCCATTTCTTGTATATGGCCTGTATATGTTTTGTACCTGTCTTCCAGTTTGATGCATGTATATTTGTGTATTCAAACATGTTTATATTATGAAGTAATATTCAGTTATATGATTATATGTTGGATATGCATGCTGTTAGACATAGTGGCACGGAGCCAAGTTATGCGTGCACCCATGGATGGGTATATGGTCTTATATGGATGTATGGTAGTGTTGAAATAATATATTATATAAACCGTTTATCAGGAGACCTTTAGAGTGGGATTTGCAAATCCCCAGTTGTCCGATTTACAGAGATTACTCTTCCCGATTTTCGTCTCCGTCAAATAAGAATTAAACTAGAAGTATGTAATGCGATATATCATGTGCAAAAGGATTAAAGAGAAAGAAAAAGTTAGCTCGTATTTTCATAAGTTAAGTCTTCCGTTGTTTCTGTTTGTATCATATCTATGTTAATTGAACCGGCTCGAGACGGGGATGTTACACCATCGCAATGAGGGCATAATGAATCTCTACGAATCCCAACTTGATCTCCCTTGGTTAAAAGCTCCTTTAGAAAGTTATGGAGGTAATATAAAGACGCCAGTGCCAAGTAATTAGGATTGAGTTTTTCTTTTTTTTGGTGCTCAGGTGCCAAATCTTCTGTATGAGATTTCATCTAATTTTTGTATTAATCTTGATATTTGTGGCTCCATATCTTCCCAAATATATAAAACACCAAAAAGAAAAAAAATTAACTTAATTAATCTTAAAAAAACTTAATAATAATAAAATTATTATTTTGATATTAACAAATTATAGACATTAAAGTTATATTTTGGTCCTTAATTTAAGAGCTTTAAGCCTCCATTTTGCATTTAAAATATTATGAATTTAAGGTCTATCAGCTTCTATTGGGAGCTAGTGCTATACAACACAAATGCTGCAAACTCAACAAAATCTTCTTCCATTTCTCAATCCCCTTCCTTCCTCAGCAAAAATATATGTAAACATATCAGACAAGAATAATCGAATAAGACCTGTATTTTAAAGTTAATCCCACATATTTACTTGTGTATGATTTGATTTGTGTATAATTAATCGTGTATAATCATTTTTAATTTATTTAAGTAGTGTTTGATTTGGTAGTAGACATGTTAGGAAGGAAC